AACACTCGAATTTAGATTTTATTTCTGAATTTAGAGCCTACAAACGCGTAAATAAACAGACAAAAATTGGAACAAGTTTTTTTATGGATTTTATTACATTGATAAAATCCCTAATAAAGTTTAGGTCATCATAACTTAGAAGTACATACAATCAGTGTTATTTTTATTAGATATTACTTGCGACCCGTCCCGGCTTCGCACGATTTCTTTACAAGTCTTTGAATTTCTCGGCTTGTTCTATAGTATAACACACATATATTATACATATAAATCTTTTCTTGATTTACTCTATCTATTAAAACTGCATTAAAATCCGTTGCGTAATAAAGATATAAACAAACAGACAGCGACGGCGATTTTGTTTATACTGAATGTAATGATTATAATATTAGTCGTTACTTACGTTAAACGCTTAACTTGCAACTTAGCTGCAATATTTCAGATAAACCAACACAGAAGGCTTGCGTTGAATTTTAGAAAGCACTTTTATCTGCCAACGTCCAGCGTAGCAGAAATAGCACAGTTGCTTGGACAGTTTCACTCCCAATCGAGATGAAATTTGCATTTGCGTGCCGTCGACTGTTCTATTCGCCACTCCACTGATTTAAATACAGTGCACTGTCTTTCATGTCGTGTAGTTTAATAGTAAAGTGTTAACGAGCCTGTTACTTAGTATTTGAGGTACACAAAGTAACTATTAAACATGCTAACAGATAATGTTTTCACGCGAAGCCCCATAAGAATAAATTATTGAACTACTGTACTGTTTATATGTTCCATTCGCATTGATTGAAAATTATTCATTTATAGTTTTTATACAATTATTTTTATAATTACCTCTTTTATAGTCTTGTTACTACTAGCTTACTAATAAAATATTAGTGTGGTGTAAAATAACATTTATGTCTTTTTCTCTGGTAACACTATAACTCGAACAAATAAAAATGCTGGTTGTTCGTATCACTTCTGGTACTTTATTACGAACTATATAATTAATATATGTAGGTGAATTAAAAAAACATTACATTAATTCAATTTGCGTTTGTTAGCGTAATTATGTATATGCTCATTAAGTTATCAATGTATATATGACAACATCGTAAAAGTAGTCGCAGACATTCATTTCCTGACTTTTATATTTATTGCCTAATTACAAAAATTAGAAATCGATGTTATCTAAAACAACATATAACAAACAAGATACCATATGTCAAATAAGTACATTAAATGAACCGTTCTCGTTTAATGCACTTTCTAAGTTTAATTAGTTCCGTTTTAATAAATCATGAGGTAATCGATGTAATAACTTTACGGTGCTGGACTCCGGCGATTTAAGTCACAAATTAAACGAAGCAGGTGCGCTCAACTGGACTATATACGACTCGCGCGGTGCCTACACGTTAGTTATAGTTGTAAGAACATCTTTAAACAAATTAAAACACAATACTAAATTCAAATAATATTATTTTTTCTAACGTTTATTTATGATTCTACGGCCCTGTCGGTAAGCGATCATGTTGTTGCTATTTTAAAGAAATAATGTAGAAATAACTTATCTTATTTAATGTATTGTATTTTATTATTATAAAATATAATGTGTAATTTTATGTGAATAAGAATTACAAGGTTATATAGTATTTTTCGTCAATCACCCGACTTACACAAAATGGAGTGTAAATTTTATTCACTGAATTGTGAGATATATTTCGATTCCATTACAATATATATAATTCATTTTTATTTCCACCTATATGTTTTGTTTTTATTCTGACATATTTTTAATACAATTCACAATTATTCATAATTTAATTATTGTGCATTATAAAAATATAAATTTTACAGTATAGAAATATTTCACCTTCATCCGAAAATACTTTAACAATTATATATGTCTTTAAAATATTATTTACTAAATAATATAGAATATTGGAATCAATAAATATTTGCTACAATTATAAATTTATTATTTAGATTTATAATAATCTTGCGACCCACATTGGCGTTAATTTTATTAAATCTGATCTAGATTAGATATAACGCTTCTGCCTTAACCCTGTTCGCTTTTAATAAATACAATTATGTTTCTCTGCTTGTATGCTGTAAATTTATTGACAAAAAACATATATTATCAAAATTAAAGTTATCATGTTAAGTTGATAGAGGGCACACTTACTTTTTTCCAATTCTCTTGCCGAGTTTTTCGAAAGGTATCAATCTATACATCTATACTCTATACATATAAATAAAATTGGAGTGTCTTTTTGTAATATAGAAATAATCGTTTTTTACTGCATGCATATGAATATAAATACGATACATACGGCAAAATAACATTTATTATAATTTTTGTCTGTCTGTCTGTTTGTTCCGGCTAATCTCTGAAATGGCTGGACCGATTTCGACGGGACTTCTTTTGGCAGGTAGCTGATCTAAAATTAAAGTAGTCTAAATTACTCCTTATTACAGGAGTAACTTAGGCTACTTTAATTTTAGAAAAATTCTTTTATTTTAGAAAAATAACGCTAAATTCCACGCCGACGAAGTCGCGGGAACAGCTAGTCTATCATAAACATGAATAATTCGTTTTAATTACATTGAATTAGCGGGTATGTAACTATCTACTAAAGAAGACATATTTGAATTGGCGTTCTTAACATTACCCGCTTATCTACAAAATTGGTTTTGTTTATTTTCACATCTGCGGTTGCTGTGAAATGTCACAAAATATATGACTGCATTGCGCCCAATTTTCGATTGTTGTAGTTTGAACTTTAATGTTAACAATTTAGGAGAGATTTTTAGGAACATTTAGTGAGTCACCTTGGCGCAGGTTCCTCACGTAGGCTAGTTACGACAATGGAATACAAAATCTCTGTTGGCACGGTTACAGCAGCCCAACAGAATACTGCAACATCATAAACAAATTCTCTATAACCCTGATCATATTTTATATAGACAACGAACTTATTATGCAAAGCCACCGATATCTTAAGTAGATACTCGTAAATTTCAAAGTGTCTCAACATCTACAATATCACTGTATTTTTTTATATTACGTAGGTGGCAAACAACTATACGACCCATCTGGTGGTAAACGGTCACCGTAGGCTATGGACGCCTGAAACACCAGGGTAGTAAAGTTTCCGATCCTAAAATATCTATGATTAATTGAATAAGAATAAACAATTGCACAGTAATGTACATGTTGTGTTTGGATGTTGAAATAATCAGTAATCTTACAATAGCAATATTTTATAGCCAGAATTCAGACATAGGTATATCTTCACACTTTACATCATTATTACTAAAACAAAAGAAGGGACAAAAAATCTTACAAATACATATAAGGAAAAAGTAAATAATGGGTCAATTTTGACCCCGTTTCAGTCAGGTGAAGGTTAAGTTGGAAGTAAGTTTTAGTAATCTTAAATAACAGACACAATGAATACAATATACGATGGTAAACTCAACACAGTAATTGGCACTACTACCGCAGTGCCGACTCGCTTGCCTTAGATCCTTAGCATTCAGAACACGTACCTAAGTCTATCAGCACGAACGTCGACAATTCCGCGATCAGAGTAAATTTCACTATAAAGACTCGATTAACATTTACTAAAAATACATATGAAACCAATTCAGATCTATAAAGAAAGAAACATAATCGTACCATTAGCAGAGGTCCCAATCTCTGTATCTAGGTTCTAAATATATCCTTAGCACATCCTAATTATATATAGTTTAGAAGTTGTAGATTAGCCATTTGATTCGAAGGACTACTTAAAAATTACATAATTATGAGTTAAAAACAATAGGCTATTATTTCATAACTAATCTGTAGTTAGCGTAATACGTATCTACAAAGTTTACATTGATCGTACTTCATCAAAAATACTAGGATGATAGAATAAAAATTATTTAATTTTTATAATTTCATATGTATGTCATATAACAAACAAAACGAATTACTGGTAATTATGCTATACAGAACAGACAAGAACACAAAACATTTATGTTTATATATTTTTTAGACTATGATGGTAACTAACAAACATAGTATGAACACGAAGCAACATTATATATTTATCATTATATAATTATTTACGTAGTAACGTAGTAAATTAAAAGTAATATGTATACACACATACAAAAATGTAGGTAGATATAAATATAAATTAAAGCATAAAAATACGCCGTTTTTATATACAGTTAACTAATTCGTTTCGATAGCACCTCATCAAGGAGTATTGATAAAGTTTATACATAAATGTATAATAATGTTATCCAATTAATATTTTAATTATCTAATCATAAACAACGCCACTAATTACGTTAATCATATCAAATCATTTTGAACGTTTTCAAAATATTTTTTTAATGTTAGATAAATATGGATACTCCGACATTAACCGTGATTAATTAAATATATCTATATATACATACTTATTTATTAATTAACACAAATAATAATTATTACAAGAAACATAATTAACAAATTAATTAGTACAAAATGTACCCACATATAATAATGACGACAGTTGAATAATGTTGACCCTTAAATATCTAGGATAATAGTCCTGACAATATTTTAAAAAAGGCTACCTTTCACTTTCACATCTCAAGCAATCTCTTCCTGATAAGCCATGCCTAAAGAAGAGAAAACAGAAAATGACTCATAAATAAAATGGCAGAAAAATAATGTATTTCAATTTACGTAATTTAATACAATATCAAGTATGCTAAATATCTATATGACTCCAAAATGTTTGTTTGTTCGTTTGTAATACTTTATTGTACAATAATATTATAAAGTAGTATTCTTTTATAATCTTCTAAGAGTATATTTTGTAGTCATTGTGAAAAATTACCAGTGAAGAAATTTTCTACAGTCAACCATAACGTTAATAGAGATGTCCATAGTAATCTATCGTACTTCGTTTAATTAATATAAAATATTTTGATAGTCAATACTATAAATAATTCCTAAATTCGTTGTTTAACATACACTATAATATTCCTGCTCAGGATCAAAATGTTTCTACTAAATATATTATACATATTCAGTATATCATTGTTGGTCTCGGGTGAAATAGGTAAGTATTATAATATTAATATATGTATTCTACTTGTGTTCTAAATAATTATTAGTATATCTAATGATCATATATATATTAATTCGTATAGAATATAGATAATATATTAATTCATACCTTACTGTTAGGTATGTTAACAATTCAGTATTACTTTGATTAGACTCATCTCGAATCATCAAAAACCCATAGTTTTATCATACTCATAAAAAGTATTTTACTTGTAGTTTAAACAAGTAAAATACAGTTATATATTACTTGTAGTGAAAAACTTGCTGTATACAATTTAAAAAAATCGTTTTTCGGTTTTTTGTGGGAAAGGTGTATAAAAATTTAGAATAAGATACCGAAAGACATACTGGAATTACCTTTAAATAAATTCAAAATATCTGTTAAATCATATATTTAATTAAGGAAAGCCTATTTACACATTAAACTATTACTCGAATGACAAACGTACATGTCAATAATAGTTAATGCACGCGATATTCACTTGATGTTAGACATAGACACCTACATAAGTACATAATGTAAAAAAATTGGCTATTAAAAAAACAGTTCTTTGCCAATTCTTCTCAATTGACTCTGTATACTGAAGTGGATGGTACGGATAAAATATTAATATAAAAAAATTTACGTTTATAAGTGGCTAAAATGAATAAATGATTTTTGATTTAACTTGATAATTAAGTAAATAAATATTAATTAAACTTAATAAAGTAAATTATAATTTGTTATATATTTTAACAGATGACGGTGATAGTTTAAGTGATGATTTTGAATGGCCTGAGCGGTATTCGTGCGAAGCTAACAAATTATATCTAGAATCTGGTTTGGTTGAAGACTACAAGATATGGTAAGGAATAAAACAAAATATTAATTATTTACAAAATACTAACAAATTTAAATATAGGTAATGTGCTAGCTAATGGATTTGTTTAATTATTTATTAAATAAAATCTATCCTCCTTTTTCTATTTTTAATTTAACAATATTATTTACTTTCAGGCGCAAACCACAAAATTCAAGAATCGATTACAATAAAGGTGCTGTGAAGTCGATCGTTGTTCCTACTAAGTCAAGGGTCAACTTTGGCTTGAAATATTCAGTAAGTATAATTGAGAATATATAGTATATAAGTCGTCAGGTAATTATTTTATAAAATTTTAAATCGATTATATTTCTGGTGTAAAATATTCATTTTAGTTTTAAAAATAACAATAGTCATAGTCTTGTGAGTATAGTGTAATATATAATAATATATGTCTGATAGTAGTATAGTCTACTCTTATACGTATAATTAGGGAAGATCACGGGATTTTACCATCTTTTATTTTTATTGAGTTCCCGATATTTAGGCAGTATTTCAACCGCCGTGATCACGGGTAAACTGAAGAGCGGCGGGTAGATGGTAAATAAAATATTTTTATGGGCAGATATATGCGATTCCTACCTTCAATAAAACGTGTTAAGATCCCGTGATCTTTACTAATTATACATATAAATAATGACCGAGTCAAATTTAAAATAGTCTCCTTTTAATATTCTATCTATTCTATGTACAATCACCTAAATATGTAAGTATACTGATTCAAGAACCTTAATCTACAGTGAGTTACAGAGTTTTAAGCTACTGAAAACTTTAATCTAAACAGCCTCCTAAAAATCCACTCAAGATAATTTGTTATTCAGAAGATCAGATTAGGTAAAATGGTGCGACGTAATTATGATTGATCCATGAAAATAATCAAGAGAAAATTTCTATGGTGTAATATGAAATACAAAACAAAATAATAATTAATAAAAGTGTAATTATTAGAAATACGCAAAATCGTTACATTAAAAACAAATAAAATAATTATATTTACAAATTAGATACATATAGAATATACTTTCTTTGCAAAATACAATTAATGAAATTATATATAATATATTATACAATAATAAGTATTATACAAAGTAATTTTTTTAATAAATGTATACTAAGACGTAAATATAATTTACAAACTCTGCTAATTACGTACGTTCAATGAGAAACTTTTGGAAGAACAAATTGATTTCAGAAATTTTATATAACAATGTACTTAATGTAACTGAAAATTAACAATTAAACAATTTATCTTTATTAACTTAAGGATCAGCGTGCTGCTATCAAACACCATGTACATAAATAAAGATAAAAAAGATATTATTTTAGATACGTATATTAATTCTACAATGAATCGACCACTACCAGGTGACGGGCCTTTGTTAATTGTAAAAATTAATATTAAAATTTTAGTACACTATATATTACGGTAATAATTTAGTTATCATTTAATACAAATTGTCGCTTTTTTACATACTCAAATACAAATATTACGTCGCCTGTTTTTATAATTAAATTTTAACACATTGTATCAGAAAATCTGATTGTATAAAGGATAAGTGACGTTGTTAGAAATACTACCAAAATATGACGACCTCGGTGATCTAGCGGTTTAGCTCACCGCTTTACGCCCGATGGTCGTAGGTTCGATTCCTCGCACGGCACAGGCATTTGTATTCATGAATATGACTATTTGTATCAGTGTGGGTGTTTTCTATGTACGTATTTACGAAAAAAAAATTTCTATGTATTTGTATCTGTTATCTAGTGCCCATAACACAAGCTTTAGCTAGCTTAACTTGTGTCTAGATGGTGTTATGTGAATTGTCCTTAGATTATTATTATATTATTATAAATAGCTATATTTATTATTATACTTTGATATAGATTCATCCCCAGACTACAGAATCTGAAGAAAATGAAATAGTTTGTACAATAGCAAAGGGTACAAGAAGCGAACATCAAGATGTAGAGACTATATTGCCATATACCGGAAGTTATGAATTTGAATCTCAAGGTGAGTATTTTAATAAAATAAATTCTCAAGAATATATATACTCCCAAGAGTATATCTAAATTTTAAGTACAGCAGTAAACAATGTTAGTTAAGATAGACAATAGTCATACACTTAAGAAATTATGCATTTTATACAAGAAGTAGGAAAAATTATAACATTTTTGTCTGGCACGCTGACGCTAGCTATAAGGATGTTTTGTTGTAATTGTAAAAATAAGATTAAAAAAATCTTGTACGACATCTTAATTGTTTTTTTAAATTTAATTTAATTATGTATCTAAAAAATATATTCGCCTAGCCTGTATAAATCAAGGCTCAAATATAGAAATTTCGTTGCTCGGCATTCTGATGACTGTTAGTAAAAGTAGTGTTTTTGGGTTTTCCTTAAATAGTAAGTACAATGGATCAATAAAAAATTCAATACAATGTATATTACAATGTTTCTTATAGGTCCGGAAACAATAAATGATCAAATTTGTGAGAAATATTATTCTTCAAGTACCGACGATGGTTATGAAACTAGAACGACACTATGGATAACATTTTCTGATAGCATCAATGGATCAATACCAGTGAGGTAAATTGTTACATTTCATAAAAAATACAGACATTCCAATCATATGATTTACTGATGTTAGAATATTCACCGGCTTCTCTCGTTCGATACTGTTGTAAAAACCATTCAGTGTGCTCTAATAACTCCAAGCCACCATCACCACAGTCATGAGGTTATGATAGTAATCAAGCGCGAGTACGGCAGCGTCCTTGTAGACGTTGTAGAGCAGCTCTCATCCTTGGTTTTGATGACTATATCACTGTACTTATTCAAGGAAGGACTCAAACATTCTGAGATGCAGCTTCCCTCAAAAGAAGCACCACGGCCCTTGTAGGGAATAGAGAAGGGGTGGACTTTTGTGTTGCACACAAATCTTTGCAGTTTTAGTGCTGCGTGTCCTGCACATAGTTATTTGCTATCTTTCTAAACTATAATTCTCTAAAACCTACCAACTGTAATTCTTATTTAAACAGGTTCGAAGAAAAAAAATACAATATCTATCAAGGTTATTTAGACTATCATTATATCTGGGAATTTTATAACTTCGAGCCTGATTTCGATGAAAATGTTTTCGACACATCACAATGTAAGTTACTAATTTTATAAAGTACTTAATGAATGTAAGAATTAAACTTTAGTAAAGTAAAAAGAGACAGAAGAAATTAGAGACCGTATTATTGTATAATATTCGAAAGAGAACAAGTGTATGAGCGTGTATTCAACTATATATACTTAGATACAGTTGAGATAATTCGAATTATTTTAATTGAGATTCATAGGTATAATTTACTAAAATCTCGATTAAACCTATATTTTTTAATGTTTGGTATATATATTCCTCTCTAATGATGTTGTAATCACAATTAAAAAAAATCTTAATATTGCAGATACAGACTGCTCCTATGAAATGAACAGCGAAGTCAAGACAGAAGATCATCCTATTCCTGATTACGAAGATAAGGAACATGTAGATCGAGCTTTCAACTCGTACGTAATCTAATTGATGCATTTTCTATTTGATTTTAATCGCCAAAATTTAGAATAAATATCCAAATACGATGAAGTGTTTACATAAAATCATCATATTATGTCTAATAGTAATGCTTACAAAACTGCTGGAATTTGCTGCTTAATTCGTATCGATATTAATAGGCCATATAATATTTTTTTTCTATTTTAATATCAACAGATTCAAAACAAAATTCGACAAAAAGTACGCTCACGAAATGGAGCACGCCATGAGAAAAAACATCTTTGAGAAAAACCTAAGGTAACCCTATTATACTGTAAATTACTCAAAAGGCAAACATTCGTGGTGCTTATTCCAGTACTTGATATTAAATATGAACATATTAGTAAAAACACAATTAAAAGCAACCGTCCTATGATATTTTTTTTAAAAATCCACCATCAATATATTGTTTTGATTTTGTACATGTTTTTTTTGATATATTAAATTAAATTATTTTATATAAAAAATATTGATAAGATACTCACATATACACTCTCACTATATTTGCACCATAACCTGAACCTGCATAAAAATGTAGATAACTGTACAGAGAATGTTAATTTATTTGCTTTCTAGACTCCAAAAATAAGCCACACATGTATATGCTTTTATACCATATTACGGTATTCGTACAGTCGTGAAAAAATTAAAAATATTATAAATTCTTTCAATATTTAGACTAATTACAACGACTAATAATCAAAACCTTGGATATAAATTAACAATCAACCAATTTGCCGATCGAACTCCTGAGGAAATGAAAAGACACAAGGGTTTATTGAGAAGAGAGAAGAGAACACCTGGCAACATACCCTTCCCTTACAACGACGAAAAGTTACAGCAATTATCTGAGTCTTTGCCATCGGAATTTGATACACGGCTTTTGGGTCTAGTCAATCCTATTAGACGTGAGTAAAAGTTTAAACTATAAAATTAATGATTCGAAATAATAATAACCCAGGACACTAAAAAAGACTAAGCCTGTGGTATGACTACTAACTAATATTACTTAATCTTTACTATCTTATCTTATTATCTTTACTAATATTATAAATGTGAAAATAGGGATGTTTGTTTCTTTCACGCAAAAACTACTGAACCGATCAACATTAAATTTTGTACACATGTTCTTGGACCTCCAAGATTAGAAAAAACAATCTTGAGGATACTTTTTATTAAAAAATGATCTCCGATACCTATTGAATGGATTCAATGCGAGCGAAGCCGCGGGGAAAAGCTAGAATCGATCTATCTGAAACTAAAATAGATCTATCTGAAACCGTACAAATCAAAAGCAATAACCAAATGGTCACTAGGTTTTTTGTAAAGTTATATGAAATTTTGTACATGATTGTTATTTACGTAATATATATATATATATATATATAGATATTCATATAAAATGGAAGCATTTTCAATTTATATGAAAGTCTAAATTAATAAATTATGTGCAATCAAAACAGTGTATCAGAGGAAAAGAACAATGAATAAAATACTTCAAACATTCAATTAATGTTACGGAACTATATTAGATAATAATAATAGATAGAGACTCACATTAACATAACAAATATCTACCTAACTACAAAAGAGAAATATTGTTATTAATCAACCTCATCTATTCTATAATTTTTTTCTTAGTGAATTGACACAGCACAATTTAATCCAAAGCGAAGCAGAGCTTATATTATGGGTACTAAACAGCGGTTACAAATATACATATACATTTTTTTAATACATGCTTATATACTATGTATATATAGAAATCCCCAAAAGCAACAGAAGGACCAGAAGACCAATACAAAAATACATACTCATAAATTCAAATGTTTGTGCCGTGCAAGGAATCGAACCAGCGACTATCTAAGTAAGGCGCTGTGTTAAACTGCTAGATAGCTATAGTATAATTGCATGTTACATAGTATCAAATAGATAAGAGAATGAACGTGTACTATTTATTTTGCCAGATCAACAAACCTGCGGTTCTTGTTGGACTTTCGGAACTACAGCCGCAGTTGAAGGGGCCATCGCTCGCAAAAACGGAGGCAGGCTCCTAACACTTAGTAATCAGGCTCTAATTGACTGCTCCTGGGGGTATGTATCAATCTACATAGATATATAGATCGTGAACTAACAAATTAATTATTAGCTACATACAATAGAAAATAGAAAAGTACTAGAAATATTTTTTTATTAATATTAACGCAAAAGTTTATTAACATGGATGGACCTTTGTTAATCTTTCACACAAAAAATATTGGACGAATTTAAATAAAATATGCTACTTAAATAGAGTTTTAATGTGAACTCAGCCGAACGACGTCGCGAAATACAGGTAGTTAAAATAAACTTAACCGCTACTAAATACTAACTTTGGCAATTAACAAGAATACAATTCTGCCATAGCGTATGTTCCAATGTATATTAATTAACTGATAAGAAATCTCTAAATCATGTAGTCTAATATTTATAGGGTATAAATATATTGAATAATCAATAATCATCATTGACTTTTTACCCTACCCAGTTAATTCTAGCGTTGAAGAGCATGACAATATCCTATTTTAGATCTGATCTCAAGGAATTTAGAACTGAAATTTTATATTATATACTTTGAATACTCCAGACGTTGTAGTAGACATCATATGTAAAGTAACTAAATACTTATGGTACATTATGAGCTAGTGTCACTGTAAAGTTTTTGAGCAAAATTAATACAAAGAGTAATCACTGCTTTATGTATGTCATGACCTTCTTGAATTCTAAAGTTTTATTCTACGGTATTCCCTGTACGCGTTACGTAGCTAAAATTAAGCTCGCAAATATTCGCAAATATGTTCTATCTTAGTAATAAACATTTAATTTCATGGTCCACATATCTCTACGGCTAATTTAAGAACAAAGTATGAAAATCCAAACATTATTACAATTATTAGTAGCAGGAAATATATTACGAGAGCAACAAATTACTTATTGTTTTCACATTTCCCTTTCTGAAATAAAGATATATACTCGTTAGATGATTACTTTTATACTGTTTGTAATAAAGTTAATAATAAGTGTAAAATATGTGTTACTGTATAATATTATCTAATCTGCGATACTACGTAGGCGGTAAACAAGCATAAGACCCATCTAATAGTAAACGATTACTGTAGTCTGAAACACCAGAGGTGTCACGTGTGTCTTATTTACCCTAAATGAAGACTACATACATTGCTTTATCCGTAGATTTGGAGCCAATGGTTGTAATGGTGGTACTGACACTGCAGCTTACCAATGGATGATGGAATATGGTCTACCTACAGAAGAAGAATATGGCCCATATGCAAACCAAGTAAATATAATATTACAAAACTCGTGCACTACGACTGCCCGCTAACTACCACCTCTGTCCTTAAGTTCGCTGGAAGAGATCTCTTTCAGGGATAAGCCCACCCTTGCTCACATTTTTGTATAACTTTTTAATATTACAAGTGCAATAAAGTATATAAATCTGTTATGATATATGCAAGCAAATACGTACATACTCGTGAATACAATATGTATATTATGAGGAGGGTCAAGCAGGCAACCATCGGATGGTGAAACAGTGTTAAACTGCTTTTTCTATTTTTCAGTGGAAGGCAGCTCATAAAATCAGTATAATTGTTATATTCTAAATCTGTAATGCACACTTAGAGCAAATTTTTCTAAATTCTTGTAATGATATTTTCATGTTCCAGGACGGTTATTGTCTTATTAAAAACATGACTATAACCTATCCAATACTAGGCTTTACAGACGTCACGCCAAAAAGTATTACTGCGCTTAAAGTAAGTAATTTCATTATTTATTTACTCTTTTGCACACAAAATGGTATACATGACGGACATAATGCCTTGCATTCTCTACCAGTCAACCCTTGCCTTGATCAGAGAAAATAAGGCGGTGCAAGTTAATAAGTAATATTGAAATATAAAAATAGACAAAGACATATTAATGTATATGTATATATATGTCTTTTTTTTAATACGATTACACAATAGTATAAAATAAAAATAACATTATTGATGTTAACATCGTAGTAGTCTTTTTTCTTTTATTAGCGCTTAGGATGCAGAGCCAAGATAAAAAAGCATTTCGATTAAAATAAAAGTTACGAAATGGTACGAAATAACAATAGTCATTTAATTTTAGGTAGCTTTAATAAACCACGGGCCATTATCAACATCTATTGATGCAAGTGGTACGTTCAGCTTATACTCTGGTGGTATATTCTACGATCTCACATGGTACAGTATATTCATATTTTAATATTCCACTATTTTTATTTAAAACTAAAGAACTCTTAAACGGTAAAGAATAAAAAAATAAATATACATCTATATTTATATAATTTATTCTTTTTGTATCTAAATCTAATATAAGTAAATCATGATACAAAAGTAGTTAAAGTAAAAGTAGTTGAATTTTGAAATTATATTTTTATGTAACTGGAATAATAAAAAAACGGATGGAAAGTGGTCACCTACACTATAAATAAAAACACCAACACGGATACATCGTCATGGGAATATGTAGACTTTATACAAAGTCACCTGTGTGTGCCAGAGGTGCACACGCAGACGACTTCTTACCTATATATATCCTATTGGAGGTCAAGAAATCGTAGAGTACTGAGACATGATATCTTAATATACTGTAATGGTAAACGATTACAGTAGATTAATATATCGATATCTTACTTGCCATTCTATTTCTTATTTACTAGACACAAAAAATAATAAAGAAGTATTTCTTATGTTCGGTCAATATTTTAACTCTACATCCTACCCACTCTTATAACATGAAGCCCATGACCACTAACATGAAACACTATTGATATATAAAATACTGTATTTCAGCACCGAAACTGAACTTAACCATGAAGTCACTCTAGTTGGTTATGGTGAAGAAAATGGAGAGACATACTGGATAATAAGAAATTCATGGGGACCGAATTGGGGTATAGATGGATATATGCATATTTCTGCACGTGACAATAACTGTGGTGTGGACACCGAGCCTACTTATGTGGTCGTATAATTAAACGAATACGAATATTATGTATCTATTGTAACATTAATACTCTCATATATTAATATAATAATATTTGTACACAAGGAATACTAGTAGTTCTTACACGGATTCATTTACTTCAGTAGCTTTATATTTATTTACAGGTATATATATAGGTAGGTTATTTATTCATGTATCCATTGTCATATTTCTATGTATTTCAGCAATACATAAATGATATATGTATTTACGAATTTGTTGATAGTATTTCTCCTTTATTGCATAATATTTTTTATATATTACAGTTAGGAGAGATGTGTTATATATTCAAAATAGAATTTGTTTAAAAATAGAGTGCTGGGTAATATAAAATATCCATTTAGATTTCCCGCAAAATGACCGACGGCGTTAATTTGGACTACGATGTTATTATAATAAATAATTAAAAAATTAATTATGTAAAATTGTGCTTTGTACGTGGAATTTTAATTAATAAAATATGAGCACTTTGCTGCCAATAGCATTGTATAAAATGTTGACTTTCATTTATAATTTCAATTCCATTCAAAACAATCCCATGTTTTTGTGCAAATTCATTATTATTATTGCTTATAGAAATTACCCCAAGTCTTTGAGATTAGCGCAGCTGATTGTCAAATAGAAGAGTATGAATGAATCGTTCATTTCATTTGTCAGAATATGATTTTATGTACTAACTGTCTTACTATATTGTAGAGAGTGATATATAGGTATTTATATTCTACAGAATGACTAAACACCTAATATATAATTATAACTAAACAGTGTATAGATTTTAAAAGGTGACATGAATATAAAATATGAGTACTATTACTAATAGTAGCGAATTTTGCCGTACTGCTCGTTATTTTCAACGACTATGGGTCCGCCTAACAAATTGTCAGCAATTTATCACGGATAAATAATCCCCTACCCGTAGGTGCAGAGTGGGTCAGTCAAGTGAAAAATATATTCTCAAAATATATAACACGCCTACATTAAATACTTTTTATTATACTTTTCAAATATACCATATGTATATTTATCCGGGTCTTTGTACTGAAACACCTGCGTGAGTACTTCTGTCTCACTATGTAATATTATCTTATCTGTGGTCTCACCTATATAATAGATTACATATATATCCATATAGGCGTAACTTAGCATCCCTCCAGAGATACACATTAAGCAATTCAAACTTTTGTCGTAATCGCAGTTGAAATATATAATGTGAAATTGAAGACATTAGAGGAGAAACCAATGTTATAAAAAAAATCAGCCACCAAGCAACTTGCTTTGTAAGATGTGTATCGGTTGAAGGTTGAGTGAAATTACAAGCTACGTGACATTCCGGAATGGCAACACATGAGTGGTACCACGGATATCACATAATAAAGTGACATCCATGGTGCTGTTAAGGACATCAACTTTTTTGCCATTTGTTTAAATAAAAAAAAATATTAGCTCTCTTAAATTCTTATAAAAGACTAATATCACTTCGTCTATTGAAACAGGTCTGTAGAAATTCCACCGATATTAATCTTGAGAACCCCATGCACAATACATTATTGCAAACCAAACTGACCACTGCGGTGAAAGTAGCTGTACATTTGAAATGTTGCTAGTACCACTTTCCCATCGACCGTTGTACGTATCAGATAAGGGAGCAATTAGATATGAGTACATTAAACTATGCAATGCATTGTCTAAAGCCACTGAGAATTTTCTCTTCCCACCCTTCATAATAATATCTAGATGCAACATCTCTTTCAAAACGCGTTTACAAAATACCCGTCATTTTTTATTCTTGTGTGAATGTCAAGAAAGAATGTCAGATTTTTTGTTATTAATATAATATTGAAAAATCTGATTTTTAATGGCGTTACTTACTGTGACAAATACATACTTTTAAAAGTAAGAGCTATAAAATATACTTGAAATTTTTCATGAATAAAAGATACAATTACATGAATAAAGGAATAAATATAAATATCTCAGTATAGTGTCAAATGGGGAATTTTAGTTATATTATTGAGTGCCATTTCCCTAAGACTGAATACCTTTTTATTAAATATAATTAAAATATTTTTAGCCAATTCTGCGTACTAAAATATAATCCACAGTTAAAAGAATAGAAACTTCTTCATATTTATAGTATAGTAGTAGTGTAGGATATAAATTGTTGAAAAGCACAAACGTACTAAAACATTTGTGTACCGAAATGTAAATGAGTCAGGCTCGTGGCGTGATTAATGTCACGCTCTAGCAAACAGATGTGTGTTCGGACAGTGTTTTGCTCTTTTCACAATATATTTAGAGAATCCTAATTATTGTTATTATTATAGATCAGGCGCAGTTACCCTTTTCTAATAGCAAGATCTGGGTGTTTTAAATATAAGTACAACACCTTAAATATAACTTTCATGGTTCTATCATACGATTCTTACTCTCTTATTTTAGGTATGCTACTTTCAGCAGGCTTTATCATAATCGTGAATAGCATGCCCTATTTTTCCGTATATAACAAAAGATATTCACCTTTAACTCCCCAAAGCGTTTTAAATTTCGTACACCTAAATCAAAACTTCTGTAACTTTTTAATTTAATAGATACATATAATTAATTTTATTCTACATTCACTAACTATATCATGTAATGTGTTTTTAAAGAATCAGTATTTTACAAAGACTAAAAACAGCTTAAAATTTTAACATTATAATGAATTTCATGTGTACGATAGACAGACAGTATTAATTTAATTTTTTATTTCATCATCTCCAAAAAAGAATATCAAGTTCAAGGCAAATAGTAAGTCAATAACATTAAGATAGCATATAGTATGTACTAACGTTAATATATCGGAACATAACTCAATGAGACACCATAACCTGACAAATAAGATGTAGCAATTTTTTTCGGAATTATGTTGTTGACGTTTTATATGATGATGTCATTTTTATGATTTTGTATTTGAAATTACAACTAAAGGATTACTGGAACTGGTATTTTACAAAAATTATAAAGAAATTAATATTTAAAAAATATATCACGATAACTGTTTCTAAGAAATGAAATGAGCCACGACATAGTAATTGAGAGAAATTAAACATGCATTGTTACAGTTCTAAGAAAAAAATAAACTAAAAATATTGCCTTGGGTCAAATCGTTTTATTAGACGATGCCTACCTTACCATTACTATAGCGGACTGCGCTTGCGCATCAAATTTAATTGCACCCTACGGCAAAATAGTTTAAAATGTCTATGACATTTATGATGGGAGTGGTGATGTATAAAACGGTGGTTATAATTTTATGAATAAATCACGATGTCTAATAATTAACAGATATGATTTACAAGTTTCGATCTTTATATCCCGGGTCCACATTATATTTTCTATAATTGAATTGCTTTTCATAAAATATTTCATGTAGAAACGCTCTTGGATTAAAAATAAAATTCAATAAAATAAAAATTGTTTCATCGTTATTCATCACATTACAGTGACCTGTTGACTAACGAGCATTATTGCAAGTCATAGCACAATTATAAAGATTAAAACTTTCTACAATATATTATAGCATTTAAAAAATGCACATTTAAAAAATGAGTCTCTCTACGCAAATGTTAAAAATACTTATGAATAAAGAAGGTCCCAAGTCGTAAACAATAAAATGAATAAACAGCAATCTATCTGCATAAATGATCATTGAATATTTTATTAGTTTCTACTGCTATAAAAGTTTAACACCTAACCAGTTTCACCCCGCTGAGATAATTCCTTATATTTTATTCTTCGTAACCATATATGTGACAAATAAACATGTCTATTTAAATATTCACATAATTGTAAACATTGTATTTTCTTTTTATGGACATACAATAGTCGTACTGTGATAATAACGTCCCATGGGGTTATGAAGAGGTACTCGTTGCATTTGTGAATATTCATCAGTGTAACCTAAACTTGTGCCTTATAGCCATGTCAATTTTAAATTCATTGTAATTTATTGCCATATATTATTTCGCATAAAAAAAAAATTTCTATTCCTTCGTTTGCCGACTTCGACTAACTTCGGCTTATGGACGGCTTCGGCTTATCCGTCATACTGGTGAACGGGTGCTGCTTGTGGGGACTAGTGTGTTCGGGTTACGAACACTGATTAGACAATTTGCTTTTGCAATACCATATGCTGATGGTCATTTTATTCTCCCAAATTTAAATATCTGTATTATTGTAAACATGTACAACATTTATTTGAAAAGAATACGAGCTGAGTTTCTTGTCAGTTCTTCTCATCTTAAAATAATTACGAGCGGACGGTAAATTTTACATATCATACGTGTCTATAATAGACCTACATGAATTTTAACAATTCATGTAGAAAATTTTTGACCTACATTTTGAATGTTTATCCAAGTCATAAACATTCAAAATTCAATTCTTATAAATAATTGGGTAGAAATTATCGAAATTATAATAAAATCTGTTGAAAAGTTTAACAAATATAAATATTGACACAGGCTGATAAGAACAGCGACTTTACTTTATACTGTTTATAAATAAAATGTCAACTCCACTATAATATAAACACCAGAGAACAAACTATAGTATTTTATTTATTCTTACGTAAAGTAAACAAATACTTTAAGACTTACAAATTGTGACAATAAATACGCACTAACTTTATCCATGCGTACAATCTAATTATACAACTTACACCAAATAGAATGCTATTTGTAACACGATATTTTGATAATTTCCAAAATCTCGCTTCTCAAATCCTACGGGGTCTCGGTTGCAAAGTTTCCTACACGAAGCTTATTGTTCGTTATATATCTCTTAATTAAAACAATATTTATCGTATTTGTGTATCCGCCAGAGGTGTACTACGACTAACAATTTTAAGATATGAATATTTGAATATTGTAGCCATTTTGATGAGTCCTGTTTTTTTATATATTTTATTATTTTGTGTATCCGTTTGTTACATTTCCTTAACAATGTAATGATATTACAATGTAATATATGCGTGTACCAATTACTAAAAAAACTTTAATATGCGTGGAAATATTTCAACTATAAAGCTAACACAAATGTTGTTGCTTTTGTTGTTACTGCTGTTGGTTGCGTATTCGATTCCTCTCAGGGTACAAACATTTGTATTCGTGAGTATGATCAAAAACTATGCAAAGTAGATAATATTATGTGTGATATCCGTCTGGATATTTTATATGTACATTATATGGATACGTATGTGCAAATAAAAATGTGTAAATATGCCTATCTACAGTACCCATAACACATGCTCTGCTTAGCTTGGGACTAGATGGTGTTGTATGAAATGTCCTAAGTTATCAATACCATGTATATATTACAGAGATTATATTTTAGTTAAATTAGACCAGTACATGAGTATA